AGTTGAATTACGCTACGCATGATTTGGAGTTAGCAGCCGTAGTGCATGCCTTGAAGACATGGAGGCATTTCCTCATCGGAAATCATTGTGAGGTGTACACGGATCATAAGAGTTTGAAGTACATTTTCACACAGAAGGAGTTGAACCTCAGACAAAGGAGATGGTTGGAGCTCATCAAGGATTATGATATGAGATTGCATTATCATCCCGGGAAGGCTAATGTAGTAGCTGATGCATTAAGCCACAAGAGCCATGTCAATACGTTAATGACGGGAGAAATACCCAAGGAGTTAGCAGAAAATCTTCGTGAACTATGTTTGGAAATAGTTCCGACAGGCTATGTAGCAGCGTTGGAAATTCAGTCAACTTTGATGGATAGAATCAGGGAAGCTCAGAAGACTGACAAGGAGATTGCTTCCATAAAGGAGAAAATGAAAGAAGGAAAAGCTAAAGGATTTCGTGAGGATGAGCACGATACCCTATGGTTTGAAGACCGTGTCTATGTGCCCAATGACCCAGAGATCAGGAAGTTAATTCTGCAAGAGGCCCATGATTCACCCTATTCGATTCACCCAGGGAATACCAAGATGTATCTGGATTTGAAGGATATTTTCTGGTGGACCGGAATGAAGAAAGAAATAGCAGAGTATGTAGCAGTTTGTGATGTATGCCAGAGAGTAAAGGCAGACCATCAGAAACCAGCAGGATTGTTACAACCATTGCTGATACCCGAATGGAAGTGGGATAAGTTAGGCATGGATTTTATCACGGGATTGCCCAGGACTCGTTTAGGCTATGACTCGATTTGGGTTGTAGTCGATCGATTGACGAAAGTAGCTCATTTCATCCCAGTAAAGACCACTTATACCAGTGCTAAGTTGGCAAAAAATATACATGACCAGAATAGTATGTCTGCATAGAGTTCCGAGGAGTATCGTATCAGATAGAGGAACCCAGTTTACCTCAAAGTTCTGGAAGCAGTTGCACGAAACTTTGGGAACCAGGCTAGAATTCAGTACAACTTTTCATCCGCAGACAGATGGACAGACCGAGAGAGTCAATCAGATTTTGAAGTATATGGTGAGAGCTTGTGCGCTAGATTATGGATCTAGTTGGGACGATAATTTGCCATATGCAGAGTTCTCTTACAACAACAGTTACCAAACCAGTTTGAAGATGGCCCCTTTCGAAGCTTTGTACGGAAGGAGGTGCAGGACACCGTTGTCGTGGGACGAAGTTGGAGACCGCCAGTTGTTTGGACCTGACTTGATTAAGGAGTCTGAACAGAAAGTGAAGTTGATTCGCGATAGGCTCAAGGTAGCCCAGTCCAGACAGAAGTGTTATGCAGATTCTAAACGCAAGGAGACAGTTTACGAAGTTGGAGACAGAGCTTATCTTCGAGTATCTCCACTTCGGGGAACAAAGCGTTTTGGAGTTAAAGGGAAGTTAGCGCCACGATTTATATGACCATATCGAATTTTGGAGCGTATGGGAGAAGTGGCCTACAAGTTGAAATTGCCCGAAGGATTGTCAGGAATTCATGATGGGTTCCACGTTTCTCAGTTAAAGAAACGTCACGCGGAGATGGCTGACATACCATTGAGAGACACAGTGCCTTTGGAAACTATTCAGTTGGATAGCGATTTGACCTACGAGGAGAAACCAGTTAAGATCCTCGAGTTTGCCAGCCGAGTTACTCGCAGCAAAGTTATCAAGTTTTGCAAGGTTCAGTGGAGCCACCACACGGAGGATGAAGCCACCTGGGAACGAGAGGAAGATTTGCTCAAAGACCACCCTCACCTATTTTCTAGCCAACCCGAATCTCGAGGGCGAGATTCATCTTAAGGGGGGTAGGTTTGTAACATCCCAAATTTTCAATTTGGAATATTATACATTAGATCATCATGCATATCATATTTTATTTGCTTTGGGTTTTGATCCTAGAAAATTCTAAGCAACTCAAGGACCCACAGAGAGAGTTGGGGATTTCGTTATTTTCATATTTGAGTTTTCTCAAATTTTGAGAATAGGATCATTTGATTTTATTTATTTTATCATCAATTATTTCTATTATGAAAATATGAGAGAGGGAATAAAATGACTTTCCCAAAATATAGAAATATTGAGGATTTAATAAAAAATCACATAGTTTTATTTCAGAGTTTTTTTTTTGTTTTTATTTGAATTAGGAAAAATGCGTATTTTTAAAAATTGCATTTAGGGCCCAAATAAATGTTCACTTTGTCGGGCTTGATTTTAGAAGCCCGGGAAAATTTATTTCGGGATTTTTGGAGTCCGTTTAGTATTTCTTTTTATTTTTCTTCCGAGCGAAAAAAAACGCAAACGACTTCGGGCCGTAACCGGCCAGAACTCTGCCGGCTGGGGGGCTTTATAAGCCGCACCTCGGGCCCGAGCCAGCCCACTAGCAGCTGCCGCCCGAACCCTAACCCTAGCCGCCAGCCGCCGCCCGAACCCTAACCCTAGCCGCCAGCCGCCGCCCCCGCCAGCCGCCGCCGTCGCGACCCGCCGCCCGAGGTTCGCCGCTGCCTCGAAATCCGTGCCGTTTTTTTTTAAAATCCGTTCGTCGTTTTTCTTTTTCGTCGGATTTTTCCGCGGTTATTTTCTGATCGCGATTTCTGATCCGATTTTCGTTTTAGTTTTTCTTTTCGCTCATTTATCGGAATCAGGCGATTCAAGCGCCTGGAGTTTCGTCTTGAAACCCTCTATCCGAATAATCAACTTAAATAAGTTTTTGCTACTGTAAAATTTGACTTACGTTCAGATTACTAGAACGAAGTTTTTTTATTTCGCCGTTTGACTTTCTTTGCTTCGTTCGATTTGATTCTTTTTGCCAACCGGAGTTCTTAAGTTGAACCTTCTGGTTAGATCTCTTATTTGAGTTTTACCTTTGCATTAGATGAGTACTTATTGTATGCTTGTTTGTTTGCCTGCGATAGAGTACCCGGAGTGTGCCGCCTGTTACTTCGAATCGTTAGGTTTCACGGATCATCAGCAAGGCAAGTAACACTTTGATCATACCTTTTCTACAACCCAGTTTTTTTGCATTAGATCAATCTTCACACATTGCATGATTATGATCTAATTAAACCGTGGGATGGGAAGTAGATGAGGTAGTACCTATTACCTGTTTATTATCAAACCTTTGGGAGTTACTTCTACGTTTGCTTATTTTGCCATGCTATGCTAGTAGACGTGGATTGGGTGAGTGAAATCCATGACAGATGTGAGATTGATAATTAATGGTTTATCTAAGGTGGCAACTTAAACACACATCTGGGTGGATCTAGCCACCTGGGTATTCCAGGACCTACCTGTTTTCTTTTGGACCGGCACCCAGGCTCAAAGGGATCATGAGATTTTTCAAACTAGAAACTTCCGTGTGCAGCCACAATCCATTATGGGCTCTGGCATAGTTGATTAAGTCGTGTGAACTCTTATAGGGTAGACTAGCAGATGTAGGGGAAAGTAGGTGTACCGGTCTATCCATCGTAAGGTGCTAGCGCTTCTGAAAGACTGTGTCTCGGTCATCCGTTTCTCAAACACCATGTAGTGCGAGAAATCCAACGGAGGCGATCGAGTCTTGTGGGGAAAAGTACGCAAACCTCTGCAGAGTGTAACAAACTAATCATGATTAGCCGTGTCCCCGGTTATGGACATTTTGAGTATCTAGTATCTGGATTATCATGTGAATCTCAACATGTTACTCTAAAATTAATGTTGTTGGGTTAATGATGATGCTTAATTGGGATTGAGAATGCTGTCAACCATTCTCAATGTTTAACAACCACCATGATAGTAATTAAATTTATTCCTTTGAAGTAGGAAAAATTTGGCTTTATGCAAAACTGTAACCATAGAGCTTTCCACCAGCCAAATATGCATATAGTATAGCTGCTGCATTCCATTACTCTCTATGTGTTACCTTGCCAGCATATTTCATGTGCTGACCTGTTTTCGGGCTGCAATGTTAATATTGCAGACTTTTCAGACGATGATTAAGGAGTTTTAGGTCATGGTTCTATACTCAGTGATGCCATTGGAGTTGATGAACTCACTTATCTTCCAAGCCTTCCGCTGTTATCGTAATTAGATGGCCTTAAGCCATATTTATTGTAATAAATTCTCTTTTGAGACACTCGATGTAATAAGTTTGTGATTGCTACTCTGTTATAAATCCTCCGAGTACTGTGTGGTGTCAGCATTACTGATCCAGGGATGACACCGGAGCACAGAGATCAGACTGTTTGATGTCTGGTCGCTACAATGTTCAGGCCAGTAAAGAAGCTGGGAAGTATCTGTCCTGAGCAATGCTAAGAAAAAGCATTAATGAATTCAGCACCCCTTTCTCTACTTAAATCAGTTTATAATCTGGGAATTTTAAACTGTTTCACAATGGCGCACGCTGATCATTCATCTGAATAAATGGAATCAGGATCAGGAGATAAGGAAGCTTCTCAGTGACCCTAAACAAAGTTCAACTTACAGACGCTTTATCCAAAAAATCGCCATGCTGCTGATTCAAGTCGCAATTTATTCATCCCTGGCCCGCGCACTACTCGTCCTTTCCGTTGCATCACCATTCCACCAATTAGATTGCATCTTTTTGCTCTTAAAAACCTCTTCCTGTCGTCCACAAAAGCCTATCCTGCCATGTTAACCTGAACCATGCACATAAATGAACTGGGATCAACTTTTCTTTCCCTAAAAATTGCACATAAACCTGATCGCTTCCATACCTGAAATCGTTGCCCTCCATGAACATGCCGAGAACTTGCATGCTTTCCCCTTGCATGTCACTTCAGCGGAGTATCTTCAGTCTTCAGAGTTCACACAGACCGACCAGCCGCTTTGCCATCACACCACACGTACTTGTATATATAAGGAGAGGGGGAGCTCGGTGACAGACAGACGGACAGACAGACAGACAGACGTAACGGAAGTGAAGCATCAGTCGTTAGGTCCAGCTACTACTTCACAGCATGGGCAACGGCAAGGTGTACTCGACGATCGTGCTCATCAGGCTGATCTACGCCGGCATGCACATATTCACCAAGGCGGCGTTCGAGGAGGGCACCAGCACCACCGTCTTCGTCTTCTACCGGCACGCCGTCGCCGCCATCTTCTTGGCGCCTTTCGCCTTCTTCCTCGAGATCAGGTAGCCGAATAGACATGACATGAAGGGTTTGTTCAGTCATCGTGAGATGAGGTCAACTGAATCGCTTATCCCTCTCGTCTTCTCTGATTTCAGGCAGGGGTCGGCGCCACCGCTGACGTTCAGACTCTCCGTCAAGATCTTTGCCCACGCCTTCTATGGGTATGCGTCGACGATTACGACGACATCTAGATCACTGAAACTCCAGTTTGTTGCTTATGGTTTGTTCTTGTGTCACTCACTCAGGATGGCTGGAACGATAAACCTGTATAGCATTGGCCTGAATTATGCTTCGGCAACCTCTTCGTCGGCCATCTTCAACATCGTCCCCGTGGTTGCATTCATCCTGGCCGTCATGTTCAAGTAAGAAACTGGAAAGGTGAAATTCTTTCAGTGCGATTTTCTTGTTTATTTATCAACAAGTGGGTTCATACATACTGTAGGATGGAGACTCTGAAGTTGAAGAGCGTCCACGGCATGGCCAAAGCCTCGGGGATACTTCTGTGCATCGGAGGAGTGGTCGCGCTGGCGCTGTACCAAGGCCCCCAGCTCAAGTCCTTGAACCACCACCCGCTCCTGCACAGCACCGGCACGGCCGTGCACGCGCGCCTGGAGAAGAACTGGGCGCTCGGCATCTTCCTCATGACCGCGTCGGTCGTGATATGGGCCCTGTGGACAGTACAGCAGGTAAACTATTGCCCTGCTCCAGCTGCCTCGTGGAAGTGTACTCGTAGCTGACATTGTGTCTGTTGTTTGGCAGGGCCCCCTGTTGCTGGAGTACCCATCCAAGCTTCTCAACACGACGCTCCAGTGCACCTTCGCCAGCGTCCAGTCGTTCGTCATCGCCCTGGTCATGGAGAGGGACTTCTCGCGGTGGAAGCTCGCCGGCGGCATGAGCCTCTTCGCAGTGCTCTTCACGGTAAGCATGCACACTGTTCAACCAGCTAGTAGTAATGTACAGTAGCCATGACTACCGGCCGGCACTCAGAAGCGTCCGCGCGCGGCGTGGGTCCCATGTGTTTCAGGGCATTGTTGTGGCGGCGATCTCCTACTACCTGCAGATCTGGGTGATCGAGAAGAAAGGCCCGGTGTTCCTGTCCATGTCCATGCCGCTCAGCCTCGTCTTCACCATGGTCATCGCCTCCTTCCTGCTGGGAGAAGACGTGGGCCTGGGAAGGTACGTACCTAATAAGAACCATCGTCACATAACCAAAATTTGTCTGATTCTTCTTTTGATTCGTGCACCGCATCGCAAAGTAAAAGAGTCCGTGTCACGAGCCACGACCCCGACCGAGCACCGGACGCCTTCGCTTTCTCAGATGCGAATCCAAATGTGTTGCACTTGCACATCTAATCATGAACAGTATGTATGTATGTATGTATGCATGACCCGTCCTGTCGCTTGGGTGCAGCATTATCGGTGGCGCGCTGCTCGTTGCCGGTCTCTATGCCGTGCTCTGGGGCAAGGGGAGGGAGGAGCGAGGGGCGGCCGTGGACGCCGCTCTGCCGCAAAGGAGGACGGAGGAATCCAAGGAGAGCGAGATCGTCCCGGACGCGACGGCCAAGGTTTGATGCCCACCTGGCCTCCCCTGGGTGCGCTTTGTAGTGGACCTCGAACATCTTATCTACAGTACGACTGGTGTTTTATGCCACGACGACGATGATGCTTGCTGTTCTTCAGAGTTCGGAATCATTTACGTCAGTTGTTTGTCATGTGTACTACGTAGTTCTTGCAATGTTGCTAGTTTATCGTCGGAAAAGGGATCACCGGCAAGATGCACGGCAGATGTCAAGTTATAATGGAATCTAGAAGAATTCATTAACATGCTGCTAATGGGACTGTCCAGTATGAGTTTACGATGCACAGAATGTTTGCTGATTAACCAGTTTGTCATCCAACAATTCTTTTCACACTATAATATAATTACTTAACTTTCGAGTGGAATGTTTTGCTTCCCCCGGTCGTAAGAAGCAGACTACAAACTATAGTTGCTTCTGCTAATATTCTTGTCAACTCAAATCTCAGCTTTGAATGAACATATCCATCTGCCTCCTCAATCTTTTAGTATTACTCGTCATGCTTTGTATCTGCTTGATACTACATTTTGAGTTAAGAAAAGAACACTCTATCGAAAAAAAACTCCTCACACTCCAATTTTGTGGTGTCGGTTTGTCTTAACAACGCCAATCGAAGAAGTTTGTTAATCTGGATGAGAGAGAGTGAGGAAATAAGAGGTAAGGGAAGGCTATGAGCATCTAGCAGATCCCGTATAACTCTGACGAACTGCGTTTTCTCGGACCTTATATGGGACGGCCCAAAAAAATGGCCCGCGCAGATCCTGCAAATGACGCTCGGTCTATATTTTTTTTACGGGCGGCCCGTAAACCGATCGGCTTTTCGGTATATATGCGGGCGCGGGTCATTTTAGGGTTCCTATCCGGCATTCCTGGCATCCATCTCCAACGCAAAATCCACCCTTCTGGCGAGAAATCTCCACCCATCTCGCAGCGATTTCCGGCGCCTCCAGCCGCCGGATCTTGGCGGCGATGGCGTTTGTGGGTGTAGGGCATGGCGGCGGTGGGGGGTTCGGCGGGCGCGGTGGATTTGGGAACCGCGGGGGGTTCGCCGGCCACAAGCGTCGCAACAACGATGAGGCCGGTAGCTCCTCTCTCCGCCCTCCGGTGTCCGACAGGCAAAGGGAGGCAGCACGCATCCACATTATGAAGTCCCGCAGGGCCAGAGTGAGGGCGTGGGCGAACGTCCTTCGCCTCCGGCGGATGTTCGACACGACCCTCCAACGGCTCCAGGCGGCCGAGAGACCGCGTGGTGCAAGGCGAGGCAGGTAGCCGCCGCCGGAGATGCGGCTGCGGCTACACGCCTACCGGAGCTCCGGGAGGAGTACCACCTCCAGCAGACCCTCTCTGGGACGCTGCTCTACCACACGCTTCACGGGAATGAGCCTCCGCCACGCGAGGACGACTCCGGCGACGATGGTGACTCCGGCTCTGGAGCCGACTTGTAGAACCAAGTATGAAGTAGAAGTACAGCCCCGCGTAGTATGAACAAGTTTAATTTCCATTTGAACTATGTTTACTTAAACTTGTATGAATTATGTTTATGTGGAACTCCGGTGATGCTTATGGCGTGAACTACTAGTTTCAAAATCAATTTGAATTGCGGTGATGTATGCGGGATCTGTTCTGTCTCCGCGCCTCTGTCAACCTGTAAATTTCGTTTACGGGAGCCCGTACACAAATTTTGCGGGCTGGCCCGTTGCGGGATCTGCTAGAGATACTCTAAGGGCATCTCCAATGGCAACCCGTAAATTTACTCCCACATCTGTCCATGGATAGGTCGGGATCAGTCCGCAGACACGGATGCGGGAGGCCGCCATCCAACACTGCCCGCATACATTTCAAACATTTTTTTAACAAAGCGGATGAAACTCATGCAAACATAGCGGATTTCATATAAGCCAAATGAAATTCATTACATTTTGGACATATTTTAACTAAAATAACTAAAATTATATGCACGTCCAGTCGCACTGACCTCCATCCCCACGACACGGATACACTACACTAGTCTATGGCCAGCCGCGGCAGATCCAATTATCTTCCCCATGTCCGGCGGCCCGCTCGCCGGACTGCCGTGAGCCTTGGAGGTATATTCTTCCATCGTATCTTGTCTATGTCCGGCTGCGCCGCTCATCGGAGTGGCAAAGAGTGTGCTTCAGCCGAAGGGGATTGGGGGCTCCGCAGCCGTGAAGCCCAGGCGGGGGTCGACGATGATCTGCGCTGAACCGGGCAAGACACCGGTTGTGTACGCCGGCGTCGCCTCGGCAGTGGCCTTCATGGGACCCAAGCGGCATCGGCCTCCCGTGTTATACTTCTCCTCGATGATGGCGGTGGGCGCGGACATGCGGGACGCTGCTGACCTCCACCGGCAGGGCGCGGTCACGGACACGTTGAGGGCGGCTGGCGCGAGCAGTCGCAACATGGGACGCGTGCGACACATCATCGTCCACAGTAGGCACGATGTCTGTGCCGCCATGGTCTATTGCATGCCACCTCGAGCAACACATAACTCATTGGATAGCTGGCTTGGAGTGGTGAGTTGCTGAACCACGCGCCGTCTCGGAGCTTCTACTTCCGCGAGCTGGCTTGCAGCTACCTGGATCGTCGATGGAGGCGGAGCAGAGAGTTGCCTAGCTCATATTCGGCGGGCTTGATGGGCCACCCAGCCAGCTTGTTCGGATTCCTGCTTGCTGGATGTGATGGAGCT